AAGGTAGAATTGGGATCATGATAGCGTGGGGGGTTGGGGAAGCATTTTAAGAACTAGAGGAAAGTTGTCTGTTTCATCGTTGCTACCCTACACCCTGACTGGCTCATCTCCTCTCCATGACCCTTCTGCAAGGGGGTATCCAGTTGCCTACAGATGGGCTTTGGGTCTCCCCTCTGCACTCACCCTCATTTACAATGATGATTTTTTGTTCTTTGATGCCTGATACCTAATCCCTTCAACACCTCGTGGTCACACAGACTGGTGTACTTCTTCCATGTGGGCTTTGTTGCTTCTGAGCTAGATGGCTGCTTGTTTACCTGCAAGCCTTTAAAACCCCAGAAGTTATATCTTTTGATAGCTGGGCACCATCAGCTTTTTTCACATTTGCTTATGCATACATTTGTCTTCAGCAATCATGTCGGGAAGGTATGCATCATGGTATGTCAATTTAATAGACCAAAGTATTCTTGCATTGAGTAAGTACTTGAGTGGAGATCCAATGTCCATCTGTTTCCTTAATACTAAATCTATAAATCTATACCTGTAGAGCTATTATATATTTAATTCTATATATATATCTACTAGTTATTTTTTATCGTCAATTTAACAAAATCCATAATTTCCATTGTGAATTTAATTCAGGAGTGATACTCTCACTTGGCTTCTTTAGTACTTTTTATGTGTAAACTACTTTATATATGTTCATTTAAATCTAAGTAAATTATATAAGAAAGGCGTTGACATTCTCATTTTACCAATGATAAGACTGAGTCTCAGAGATGTTAAATGACATGCCTTATGCAAGTCTGGAGCGAAACTAAGTTTCTCTGCACATAATTTCTCTGGCTACAGATTGCAATCACTATACTTACCCTATGGCTGACAAGTGTTGTTAGACCATAATCCAGGCAAAAGTGTGGAGTTTGGACTGGTGAACCGAGACTAGAAAGCAGCATGGAGAAAGTGGAATCAGATTGGCTTCATCCACATACCTGAACACATGCATGAAAGGCAAATGAGCTAAAGTAAAACTAAGATTTGCAGGTAGTTGAGAAATGTCTCTTCCCAGCTACTTTTAAAAATAGCACAAAATTTCTTGAATCCTTTAGGAATTGTGTCCCGCCTGGTGGTTAAAGAGACTTGACAACAGTGGTTTGAAGGAATTAAGGAGTTAAATAATAGATTGGAGTTAAATAATATGACCTAACATTAAAATTAGCCTATATATAGAGTATGTGGGTTAAGCATGTGTCACCTCTTTTAAAAATGCTTTATTGTGGTTTTGCTTGAGAGTTTCCCAAATAAATTGCTTTTCCTTTGAACAATTTCTGCACATTTTGTTTGGAGTTCCTTAGTTGCAGTTCTTTTGATGTACCAACACTCTGCCCACTTCCTGTGTCCCTTTTTGTCGGTCCTTCCCTCCTGCCTCTTTCTGTCTGCTGAGCTTGTTTTGAGGGAAAGGCTGATCTGTTGGCCTAATGGTTCCGTGGTCTGAGTAGTGCGTCCTCCCACAGTGTTACTGTTCACTTTACAGGTGTCATAGGCTTATCTGCTGTCTCCCTGAAAGGGGACAGTTCCGGGTTGGGTATCTACGGGCCATAATCTTAGGGGTTCCACTAAACTGTTACTTTCTTTAAAAATGACTTCAGAAGTTACTGTAAAAGAGTAACTCAGAGCCATGATCTTAGGGATCTCTTGCTAAAACCTCCTTCAAAGGTGAGGAAGAAAATGAAAAATAGGAGGGGAGGGCATGGGAGCGGGAGAGAAGGAAGTGAGGAAGAAAAGAAAGATACCCCAGGAAAGGACCTTTTGAGTGTCTACACTAAATGAAGGCTGTTTGGGACCAGTTGTTAATACCAGTCTATGAACTAGTTCCTGATTTCCCCCCTTTTTCCTGCAGGTAATTCTAAAGGAAGGGGTTTTAAGAAGGCAAAACCCAAACTAAATTGTTCTCTAAATCTAACACCAGCAATATCACAGGATAAAATATTCATCCCTTTTAAAAATTACACAAAGTTTCAATCTTCAGGGGAAACTAGGTTGAGTATACTTTTGGTAGCTTTGAAGATAGTGAGTTGGTTCTTAAATAGGATGGAACAAATTCGGCAGTTTTGCTATACAGGACAGTTATTGCTAGACAACCACAAACTAAAACCACTTTTGTCAAGGGGCTTTTGTCTTTTAGCAACCCTATAGGACAAAGTAAATTGCCCTGCCTGGTGTGCTAGCCTGTAATCTTTACAGAGGCAGACTGTTATTCTCCTGTTGAGCAGCTGGTGGGTTCAAATCACCAACCTCTTGGTTAGGAAACTACTGCTTAAAGACTGCAACCAGAGGTCCTTTCCAGACAACCTTCAAGAGACCATAAAGAACTGAGTGGTTGATGCTTTTGTAGCTAAAAGAAAGCAGCGCTGTAGGTGAATTGATTTACAGTAAAGTATTAAGTTAAACTTAAGACTCATCACAGCTCTACAGACAACGTCCGCATTTACAAATAAAGAAACTCAATTACAAAGAGATTTACAGTGCCCAAAGTAACATTATTGGGACCTCAAATTCTAACCCCAGAAATCTTCAATCCAGTGTCTATGTACACTCTTACTTCACTATGCGTCTTCTTAAGGAAGTAAGTATAAGTTTACAAGTTTAAGCCAATTTAAGTGGAGTAACATTGATAGGAAGGAGGCCCTGCTGGTGCAGTTGCTATGCGTTAAGCTGCTAACAGAGAGGTCAGCAGTTTGAAACCACCAGCCATTCTGCCAGAAAGAGGCTGCTTTCTACTCTTGTACAGTTAGTCTCAGAAACCCACAGGGGCACTTTTCCTCTCTCCTATAGGGTCACCATGAGTTGGGATGGCGCAATGACAGTGAGTTGTTTTTTTTGAACCCTGATAGCAAAGGAGCCTAGTAGGTAGTGTGGGTTATGTCTTGGGTGCTGACTGCAAGGTTGCTAGTTCGAAACCAACCACTCTCTGGGGGGAAAAAAGAGAAGCTTTCTGCTCTGGGCTTTAAAATTTACCACCTCAGATACCCAAAGAGGGCAGCTCTTCTCTGACCTATAGGGTCGCTATGAGTTGTAATGGTCTCGGTGGTTTTAACTCTGAAAGCCTGGAAATCAAGTTGAATTAATGGAACTGCTTATCTGCCCTTCTGTTCTAGGATAATTTTAAGTTAACAAGTATCATGTTTCAACAAAGGTAATTTAGCTAAATAAAAAAATGCAACTTGTTTCTTTAAAGAGCAGGGCACTGCTGTGATTCGGAACTTCTTCCTATACTGTTCAAAGTCATCTGGCAGGGGACAAATTAGCAGCTCTTGAGCTCAATTTCCTTATTAGTAGAGAGCACTGTGCGTATTAAACGAGTGTGAAATGAGGTAAGGCAGGAAAATCATTTAAAACAGTGCTTGCTATCTGTAAGGATGAGGAAGGCAAATACGGTTTAATGAACTTACTATCTGGAAGAAGACATTGAACAAATAATTAGGAACATTACCTAAGTCTAAAAAAGTAAGTTTCAATAATCTTGACAAGGTAAAATAAGACTAGGACTGCGAAAAAATATTTAAAAAAACAAAAGCCACACCTCTGCCATCGACTGGTTTCTGACTCTCAGCGACCCTACCTGGCGGAGTAGAAAACGCAGGGGTTTCAGAACCTGCAGCCTCCTAGTCGTCTTCGGAGCTGGTTCAAAGGGGCAGCCCCAGGCAAAACGTCAGTGGGGGTTCTTCAAAAACATAAAACATGCTGTCTATTGGAGTGATATGCATTAGGTTTGCAACTGTTCATTTCTAGGCTCACGGTCCTCCTTTGTAAAGAAAGGTGTGCAGAGTTGCGCTCCCTTCCTTCCTCATCTAGGACTCCTGGGAGGCAACTTCCCTTCCCAGACACGTTCCCGCGGCTCCGCGGCTACTTCCGAAGTCTCCGCCTCCGCTCGGTTTAACCACGCCCCTTTGAGCTCACGCTTGGCCACGCGTCAGCAAAGAGAATATCGCGAGAGCGCCCTTCTGACGTTTCCTTATTGTAGGCGCTATGTGTTCTCGCGATATTTCCGGAGGCTCCGGAGTCCGGGCGACCCGGGCTTCTGTGAAACATGGCGGTCGGCTGGGGCCGTAACACAAGGTAAACTACTCACCCCGCTGTGGGCGCTGCTCGTAGGTCCCGGGGATGCTGAGGGCGTGGATACAGGGACGGGACTGAGCACCTGACACGGGGCTGGCTCCTCGTCTTCCGCGTCCTGCTGGAGGGTGGACTGGCCAGGAGCTGCTCCACCTCTCCCGGGGGCGTTACTGGCCGGACCCTGGGCGATGCTGTGTCCTGGGTTCAATGGCTTCGCGCTACTTTGTAACTCTTTAGAGTTCAGGTTCTTCCTCTGCAGTCCCTGCTGCTCACAGCGCTCGATTCTCTGCAGGCGCGACGGGAGCTGCGCTGTGAAGACCAGCCAGGTCGTGTCCTGGACCTCCACCCCGATTCAGACAAATGCCACATTTTAGGCAGCACACTGTTCTCTCTTTTTTTTTTTTTTACAAAAAAGAACGCGAATTTGGTCTTACATTCGAGGAGAATTTGGCATTCTGCTTGGGAGCTTGTGAAAGGGTTGAGGTGGATGAGATGTTAGGAAGAGGTTCCAGTGTGTCCACTTTTCTCCGAGCCAGAAGCACCGGGAATGTATACGTCAAACCCTTGGTTTTATTGCCTTGAGTGTCGGTAATAAGTAGAGTTGAGAAGTTATTGATGGAGACCGCACGTTTGAATAACTTTCAGACAGAGGAGTTAGTTGGGTCAAAACTTAACACAAAGTTACATAATATTTGCTAATATGTAGCTTACAGAGACAGTAATAAACAGGATCTACTCAGGTTTGATGTTGCATTTCAGTCTGTAAAGTACTGACTTAGCTTCCTGCATGGAATTGTGGTATAAACACCCATTGTAAAGCTTTGGAAGGTCCCTTATGGAAATCAGGCCTAGTCTGGGTAGGGGAGGGAGGTGAAAGAAAAAAAATTCTTTGCAAGTTTGTGAGTTGATGAAATGAAAGCAGCATGATGAAACTGTCACAGCAGTTCCTTTTAGGCAGGCGATAACCTGCTACAAATCCAATTTAACAGGTGTCCAGGGTTTCCAGTCACTGGACTGGATGATGGGAAGCGAACGATGAGCCCTCTGCACCTTATTTGAGAGTCCCTGATTGGCGGGACTGTACTTGCGCTTAGCTGTGCACTGGAAGTTTGTAAGTTTGAGTCCTCCCAGTGAAGCCTCAGAACAAAGACTTGGTGATCTATTTCTGAAAAAAGTCAGCCATTGAAAACCTGGAGCGCAGTGGGAGAACCATGCGCCATGCTTGGAATTCCCTGAAAAACGCTGGGTTGTGTGTGGACGCCTACTTTACTTATCAGTGCCGTTCCTCCTTATAAAATGGGGATCAATTCCCAACTCAACTTGAGTGTTAGCTCTTGTTACTACTTTTACTCACACAATGAATGTTACTTTGAGACTCAGGCAAAATACAGGCTGAACAAATATATATATAAAATGAGTTTCTTCTTTTTAATTGATTAAGCACTCTCCTTTCTTTGTGGTTAATATGCCCTTATATTCCATCTTCCAATTATTTCCTTTTATACTCTGTTCTATCTTAATTCCTAAAACAAAATCCTACTACTTCCCATTCGTCATCTTTCAGTAGGTCAAGTTTATACCTCTTTCATTCACTCACCGCCACTGAATCAATACCAACTCATAGCATCTCTATAACACAGGGTAGAACCCCTGTGGGTGCCTGAGACTGTAACACTTTATGGGAGTAAAAAGCCCCATCTTTCTTCCTACTTGCAGCTGGTGGTTTTGAACTGCTGATCTTGAGGTTAGCAGTCTAATGCATAACCACTATGCCTCCAGGACTCCTTATTATCCATTCTTTTGCTTTTGAGGACATATTACAAATATAGCTCATGTTTCCTTGACCTTTTCCTCATTTGTACATTTATCAATTTTGTACATTTCTATTGAACTGACACATGCCCCCCCCCCCAAAAAAAAAAGACTGTAAAGGCAAATGGCCACATCTTTCATTGTGCCTAGTGAATTCAAACCACTGACCCGCAAGTTAGCCGTATGCTTATACACTGTACAACCAGGCATTCTGCAAATGAAAATACCAATTTTTGGGATCATAATGTCATCTGTTTGTCGACATGTTCTTTTTCTCTAGAAAAACTGTACACAAGAAGCAACATCATAATCTGAAGACTATTTTGTGACCATGAAATCAGCAAGGGGAGTTAGTTGCATATTGCTAATGGCAAATGAAATCAACCTAATTAAAGTATCTAGCTTCCCTTTAGGGAATAGCTACACCATGGACTGATTAGTAGAGTCTTGTAATTGTCATGATTGCACCTAGTTCTTGCTTTTCTAGCCCTACTTTTTCTCCTTGAATGTTTTTTCTATGCTATCTTTTTTTTAAATAATCATCCTATCCATTGGATTTCAGACACATCTCTCTGCTTCTTCCAGAAACATTAGTCTTATTGTGACTTTTGCAGCAATCTGATTTAATCTTTTTTATCTGTTGATTTTATTAATGCAACTTTGATTTCTAGGTGTGTTTTATAGTTCTGTATGAGTATTATTACTATAAAGCAGATTTATAAAATTTATGCACATTTTTGAGAATTCAGTTATCTTTTGCTTGGCCTTTAACATATTTTTAGTGTAATTGGAATACTGATCAAAAGGGTTATAACAAGCAGACTATTTGTAAATAATCTATTATTAAAATAATTTCAAAAATTCAAAATTCTGCAAGCAGACAATTAGAATCCTTTCATGTTGGTTCTTACATGTTTTCACCCATCTCCCATAAATTTAGGACTTCACAGCTTTCTGATTTTTGTTTAATTTATAGTGAATATTTTATTATGTCATTAAATGCTTCTTTTAGAAGCTTTTCAATAGTTACATAGACTCGGACCTTGTTGCTTCACCATAATTTGTATATTGTATACCACACATTTTCAATATTTAAAAATACTATCAGAAATATTCTTGTAATAAAATTTCATACACAGTCTACATTGTTTCCCGGAATACATTGTTCAAAAAGGAATTTACTTGCTTAAATGGAGAGGAAGAAGCTAACAGTAATCGTCTCCTTACTAATGGGTAAACATCCCTATTTGATTTTGTAGTCTCTCCTCAAACAAAAAAGAACAAACAAAGAACAAATTCACTGCCATCAAATTAATGCCAACTCCTCACAACCTATTAGGATTTTGAGTTTCTCCACTGTGACTCTGTATAGGAATAGAAAACCAAACCCGTCCTTATCCTGTTGATTGGCTGGTGGTTTCAAACTACTGACTTTGCTGTTACCAGCCCAACATGTAACCCCTGTTCCACCAGAGCTCTACTAGTGGGAATACAGTATTTTTATATATTTGTTAATAGATGAGAAAAATTTTCTTTAATTTGGGTATTTAAAAACTTCAGATGTGATTTAATTGCTTTTCACATTTTGTTTCTATTTAATGTGTGTATGTATGTGTCAACTGCCTGTTCATAAAACATAGTTTTTGTCAAAGAGTGGAAATAATACAGTAGTGTGCATGATTACTGCCATCAAGTTGATTCCTCCTCACAGCACTCGTATAGGAAGGACAGTGTAGACCTGCCCCTGTGAGTTTCTGAGACTGTGACTCTTCATGCAAGTAGAAAGCCGTGTCTTGCTTCTGAGGAGCAGCTGGTGGTTTTGAACTGCGGACCATCATGTTAGTAACCCATCTCAGAAACCCACAGGAACAGTGCTACCCTGCCTTGTAGTCACTGCCAGTCATAATCGACCTGATGGCAGTGAGTTTGGTTTGGGTTTGGTACATAAGTATTAAGAGTTTTTTGTTTTGTCTTGTTTTATCAAGGAGGAATAAGAACATTAATTTGTTCCAAGGACACTTGCCAGTTATCATAAAATATAATTGGGTGCATACTTCATGGATAGGAAAAAGAAACCTTGTACCTTTTTAGAGGACTCATTATTTCTTAATTTATTTACTCTCTAGCATAACTATATGAAGGAAAAAGAGGAGGGTTTTCCTGAAGATGAGGCGACTGAATCGGAAAAAAACCTTAAATTTGGTGAAAGAGTTGGATGCCTTTCCTAAGGTTCCTGAGAGTTATGTAGAGACTTCAGCCAGTGGTGGTACAGGTGAGTGTTAGTGCACAGGAGACCTGCTCTAGTCCGCCGCGGTACAGAGACACAAGGAAGAATTTATCAGTGAACTGTGCTCCAACTACAACTGGTCTGTCTGTCCTCACGTCTCGCCATTGAGTCTTAATCTTATTTGTAGTCTCTAAAGTGTCTAACCTTATGCAATTGATATATTTAACAGAGCTTATGAAAATATTAATGAATTAATCCCGTTTACGGCTTTGGTACTTTTCAGTTATGTATATTAACAATTGAAGGTAGAAAAATTATTTAACGATATTAAAATGATATAAGTTTTGAAATTATTTAGTCATATTTTTGTTTTAAAAGGAAGTCAGCTAAGCCATTAGAATGTTACTTCATTTCACTTAGCTGAAGAGTGGCAGCAGCACGCAATGCGAAGGCAAGAGCTCGGACTGCGAGTCTAGACTGCCTTCACATCCTCCTCCTGCCCCTCCTAACTGATTAAGGGGAAAAGTACTTTAATTAGTAATTTTAGTGCCTTAGTTTTCTAACATGAGACAGATGATATTTTCCTAGAAGGTTTGCTACGGTGATCAAGTAAGTTAATAAAATACTTAATAGCAGGCCCTGACACAGTTATGCAAAGGGGCTTCAAAATGTTTGTTGGAAAACTCCATTATCTTTTAATTCCTTTTTTTTTTTAAACAAACTTTTTGTAGCTCTGAAACACGGATATGGGGGCCACATAGGACCTCTGGCTATACAAAGGAGGGGAATCCAACTCCACATCTACCTGAGGATGATTCAGACGTGTCTCCACCCATTTTTATCATATTCTGACACCTATTGTTCCTCCCATAACCCTTGGCTTCTCTGGTGGATTCACTGGTTCATTGCAGTGGCCACCTAGGAGCTCCTCACAGTACTCCCCTCTTGGCTCTTGTTCCCTGATGCTTGTAGAATTCCTCTTCCTGTTTCAGAAGCTTGGTGAAACTAACCAGTCCCCTCCTGAGATTCCTCTACATTTATTGGCATGCTCCTGCCCTGTTACTAGAAGTAAAAGTCATACCAAGTAATCTCACTTCATTGAAAGCCCCTCATTTTTATTTAATAAAATCATGAACTATATGGGGAAAAACAATTTTTTACTATTTTGTCTCGTGAAGAATTCTCAAGAGAGCACATATCATGTAGGGTTGAGATTTTATTTGGCAACTGTTAATAGTCACTTCCCATTTGTAATCTGTGATTATGTTTTAGTAAGAAAACTTGTTCTTGTTGTAGATTCTCTTATTTGTTTCGTTTTAGTATAGTTCTCTCCTTTTTATCAGGTCTTTCACTTGCTTCACGAAGGTGGTGAAATATCTATAAGAACAAAAAAAGGGTCAGCAAGAATTTTCCTACAGAGTTGGAGAGATTTAATTTTCAGGCACATAGATAACTGACTGTTCAGGATCTATGCAATTAGCTGAGGTGGTTTTCATTTTTGTTTTAATATGAAAACATTTTTAGTGATAAATTTTCTAGATTTGTATAGAAAACTTAATACTTTTAATTATTGCTGTCTGTGGCATTTCTTTATCTGAGAAAGCTAGACTTTTGTCTGATTTAAAATTTTGGCTTACCTGTTTAGTGAGAGAGGTCCTTAAAATTGAAGACATAAAATGCTTCCTCAATAGTATAAATGTTTGTGTGTATTAAATGTTCATTTTTGAGCGGTTTTAGAAAAATATCTATAATATTTTTAAAGTCTTTTGTAGTATTCATTCAAATGACAATCAACTTGGGTAGATTTCTTGCTAATTTAAATCTGATTTAAAATAGTTTCTGATTTTTTTTCCAGTTTCTCTAATTGCATTTACCACTATGGCTTTATTAACCATAATGGAATTTTCAGTGTATCAAGATACATGGATGAAGTATGAATATGAAGTAGACAAGGATTTTTCTAGGTAACTTTTCTTGAAGTGTTTTTAGATTCAATTATTTTAAGGATAAAACCTTAAAAAGGTTTTTTTGTCTTTATGTTTTTATATGTATTACTTGGTTTATTTTAGTTTTGAAGAAATAATCTTCAAAATTACTCATTAATTGCATGTGTTAGTGAAACCTTTTAAAACCAAACATTTATTAGTTAAATTCTAAAAGGGTGGTTTTCTGTTTGTTGAAGGAGAAAACTCTTTAATGTTTTGAATTTTTTACCCTTTAGAATTTTAAATATCTTGTTTGAGTTGTAAAATTGTCTAGTGATACATTGTATTATACCTATGTGTTAGTCTGGGTACTTAGAGAAACAAGATCCACAGAAACTCATGTATAAGAGAGAGTTTTATATAAAGGTTAAATGCACATCAAGAAAACATCCCAACCCAGTGCTGCCCAAGCCCACAAATCCAACATTAACCCATATGTCCGACACCAATGCACAAAGTCCTCCTCCATCTCACAACACAATGATGCCGACTGCAGGAGGAAAGCCGAATCAGGGAATGTGTAAGCATCTCAGTGCTGGCAGGGGTCTCCACACCGCTGCTCCAGCACCCAGGGCTGCATTGGGGTAGCTCCATGCGGCTTCTCCTTGGGGATGTCTTGCAGGAAGTGAGCCTTGCCAGCTGAAGCAGGGAACTGGCTAAGGCAGCTACACCCTCGTCCAATCATCAGAAAGCAAGAGACCTGAGAACTAAAAAGACGAGGCTCACTGAGCCATTTGTCCCTCCGCCCTTCGATTAACCCCACATGTGTTTATTGGCCAGCTTGGCACAATAACCTACCTCAACCTATAATTTCATTTCTATAAATTATTATCAACTCTAAATTTTTATGTAAATAATATCACTTATTTCTTGGAAAATATAGTAGCTTTATTAAGAGATAAAATGTATTTTATATGTATTTATTTGTACTATCAGGTTTTTCACTTGATTAGTGATACGGAGTTTATATTGTTAAGTTTGCATGCATGGGAGACACAGTTTTCAGTTCCAATTTAGTAGCTACATGATTTTAAGGGAGTTACTCAACTTAAATATGTGAATGCTCTAGTATCCTTTTCTATAAAATGAGAATAATAATCTTAGGGCCTTTCTTGTAGCATTTTGGTAAATCGCTGTATAATATGGTTTATACATATTATATAGTTTATACAAGTTACTTCCTTTGTACCTCAATTTCTCCATATGTAATGTGGTTATTTTAGATACAAGTCATTTTCAAGGACATTATTATCATTCCATTTGTTTTTATAAGCAAAGGAACACTATAGTTTCAAATTAAGTCATATCTTAGTCTATCACGTTAAGTATGATGGGAACACTCAGAAATATGTCTACTTTTCCTTTGGTTCTTGTATTATCTCTTGAGCCTGACCCCCAAGATTTGTGGGAGCCACAGTTTGAAACTCTAGATAGCTTTAAGACTCCAAAAGTATAAAATTCCACTTAAGTAAAGCCAGATGCATTCTTAGAATAAACACAGTTTTGATAGGAAGCACAGGACTGATTTCAGTTGAACCCATTGGTATTCACAGTGCTTAAGTCGCATTGAATAATTAGTTCTGATATTTGAAAATTAATTCAGTTTGAATTAATCAGTAGAATGTAAAACTATTGATTGTGACTTTTGAAAAAGTCCATGTAAGACTTTAAGGATCAGATGGATTTTATTTGCTAATTGTATTGCATTTGTCCATAGTAATGCACACCCAGTTTCTAAAAAGCCTTTTTAAAAGCCAGTCATGTACACAACTTTGAGCCCCTGTGATTTATTAGCAAAATTGTAACGTGCTCTACTGTAGAAGCCTACTATAAAGAATGAAGAATATTTGTAGCACTTCTAGCATAATGCCTGGGATGTTGTTATTCAATAAGAGAAGTTCTCATAATTCCTAATTGGTGACTATAAAAATTTTATATTCTTAAAGGAATATTTTATGTAAAATTAGTGAGGAGTTATAATAGTGAGGAGTCTAATAATCATAGAGTTGTGATTATTAAAGAATACTGTGTTAAAAACTGGTGAAATCAGAAAGGCTTTCAGAATAATTATAAGATAAAGCTATTACCTATAGTATGTATTTGTTTTTATCATAGCATACATTATCCAAATTCTAATCTGCATATTTTATACTGATTGGAATTCAAGTTTTTCATAGATCAGTTGATTCATATTTCTTATGTTTTATTGTTAAATACTATTTATTACCACTTTGTTTTTCAGCAAATTGAGAATCAATATAGATATTACTGTTGCCATGAAGTGTCAGTGTAAGTATAGCTTTAACTTGTGAATCCATGAATGCATGAACTCATGCGTATTTTAAGCCATTGCCAATAAAAACTAAAAACCAATGATTGCATTTTAACTTTATTTTTAATAATTTATCATATTTTCCTTTATTTTGGCTGTTTGGATACCATTAGAAGTTTTTAAAATAAACTTATTTTTTTATTTGAAAAAGAACATCAGTAGCTTTACTTTAAGATTTATTTTTATTCCTAATTGATTTTTGTAATTAATATTCTGTATAACAGCCATTTAGTCATTTAGATTTATTCTGGTCAATTTTTGCAGAGCTTTTCAGTTTGTGCTTTTGGCCATGGGGTTCGGGCTGATAGGAGCCCTGGTGGCAAGATGGTTTAGCAGTCCGTTGCTTATTGGAGGGTTAGTGGTTCAAACCCACTAACAGCTCCATGGGAAAAAAGACCTGATGGTCTTCTCCTGTGAGGGTGAAAGCTTATGAAACAGTCTGCTTTTTGATACAGTGTCACTGTGAGTCAGAATCAGCTCAGCAGCCCAAGGCAACAACAGCATGTGGGACTTGGCCATCGTTTTAAACTTAACAAGAAGTAGAAAAGCATTATTAATTTTTAAAATAATCTTTACCTAAGCTATATATAATCGTACTCTAATTGAACATATCAGTATAGGAAAATGACTTTATGTAAATTGTGAACTATGTCACCTTAATTTGTTTATATTAGGATAGACTCTTGAGTATGGATTGTGAATCTTGCAACTTCTTTTTTATGCAGATGTTGGAGCAGATGTATTGGATTTAGCAGAAACAATGATTGCATCTGCAGATGGTCTAGTTTATGAACCAGTAAGTTTGCTCTGTGTAGCTTTAAATAATATACTTTGAGAAATTGTTCTTGAAAGCTAATTGATATTTGCTTTCAATTTTGGTTGAGCTAGTTTTTGTATTATTTCCTTTCATTTCAAAAATGATTCCTGTTCTTTATTTTAAAATTTCAAAAAACAGATAAGCACACACAAAATTTATTTTTAATACTGAAACCTTTTAATAAACATTAACATTTTGCATAAGATTATATAGTTCATCATCTCACCTTACATTTATTTTCTATTTTTTGCTAATGCTTCCTATTAGTTTTTTCTTCCTTATAGAAGATGTTATTGGGATGAAATTTCTTTCGGTTCCTCTAGTGATTTGATGAGTAAATATGCATTTACTTCTTTCTCCCTCCTTCACACTTTGATTCCCAAAGTTTAAGAATTGTTACAACTTATGCTTAACATAATTGATTTATTAGCAAACACCATTACATTACAGGGATGAATACTGGTTAGAAGATATGATTTGTACAGACCATAAATACACTTTTGAGAAGAAACCATGGAATTTGCAGGCTGCTTTGTGTTGCTGATCGCTGTGTCAGCCCCGTGGTACTTGTGTTTACAAATGAAGTCTAGATGTGTTTTTGCTTACTAGTGACAGTTGGGAACCCTTCTTTAAGCACAATTGCAAAGTGAAGACTAAGGTGATGGAGGAGTCTTAGAAGTAACTGAATGAGCAGGACTGAATGATAACAAGGAAGTCTTTCAGTTGATTTTTGTCAGTTTGGATGACCTGATGATTTTCAAACCCATTTAACGAGGTGACATATAATCAAGAACCAGAGGTATTAAACGAAGTCCAAGCTGAACTGGAGGTACTAGCAAAAAAGCAAGGCTCCAGGAAATGTGAACACACTAATGCAGCAATGGAAACATTCACTTGTCTGTGCCAAGAAGATTGAAAGACAGCTCTGTGGTCCACAGACGGTGCCCACTCCAAGGACAGCTGACCCTACAGGCTATCTCATTAATGTCGCATGCAAGTACAATTGTGCTGAAGACAATTCAAAAAAATTGCAGAAGTACATTGACAGGAAACTGCCAGAAATTTCAGGAGATTTATAAGAAGATGTGGAATAAAGATACCATTGGCTGAAAGCAGAATTCCAGAAGGATAGTTACTTATATTTTGCTGACTATGTAGAGGAGTTCAACTATGGGGATTATAATAATCGATAAAAAACATTTAGAAGATTACCAGATTCTAGAACACTTAATTTTGGTCAAGTGGAAACTACATAGATGAAAATGCAGTCTTTAAAGCAGAATGGGGACTCTACATGGTTTAAATTTAGGTTACGAAATTTATTTAGCCTATCCCCGCTTTTTCACAGAAAAATTTTCAATGCCTCCCCCCACACCCCAGCAATTAAGATTTTTTTTTTTCTCTCTTAGCGATATTTCACCTGAATTTCTTTTTTTTTTTTTAACATTTTATTAGGGGCTCATACAACTGTTATCCCAATCCATATACACATCAATTGTGTAAAGCGCATTTGTACATCGTTTCTCAAAACATTTTCTCTCCATTTAAACCCCCGACATTAGGTCCTCATTTTT